CCCTTTATAAAGGGGGGGGTTTTTCCCCCCCAAGAATCGAGGGGGGGGGGGAATTTGGGGGTGTGAAGTTCCACTCATTTTAAAGTGGCCAAGTTTGGACAACACAGGCCTAATGTGTCCAAAGTATGATAATTTGAGCCTAGGCACACGTGCCTTGACTGAGAACCCTGGGTTGATTTGTTCAATGATCCATTTGTTTGCTTTCTTGGGTGTCCATGGTATTCTTAGGAGTCTTCTCCGACAGCAAAGTTCAAATGGGTCAATACTTTTTCTGCTTCTTCAAAGTAGCACCTAAGAGGGCCTTATAATAGCTTTAATAGAGCAAGGTATTTTTGCCGGCAGAGGTTGTATTCCTTGCAACACCTGGTCATGATAATCACACTGTGGAAATTCCTATTTTTACACAACTTGGAAAAGGAGCTCCTTAAATGTTTTTGATGCTGCATTTACTTTGTATTGTTTTAATGTTCATTTTGTTGTTTTATTCTGCATGCTATAAAATTTTATTGTATGTTGTTTTTAACTGACTATCTATAAACCAATTACAATTCTTTCAATAGAAGCTGGTGTGGTATAATCATTAAGACATTGGACCAGGACCAGGGAGATCAAGTTCAAATCCACCCTTAGCCATGAAAACTCACTAGGTAAATTGCAGTATGTCACTTGTCAGCTCAGCCTACCTCACAGGGTTGTTGCTGTGTGGATGAAATGAAGGGAGATCTCCAACTAAGCCACCTTCAGCTCTTGGAGGAAAGGCAGAATATAAATCTAACCAACAAACAAACAGGCTCTGCCTTCAATGACTAAAGTACTGCTTGGCCATTGCCACCAAGGCAACTTGTGATTTGCAGGCAATCTGAAGATGCAAAAGTCTATATTTTGCACAGGTAAATTGCTCTGGTCAAATTCATGCATGGAGGAAAAGGTGGGAGAAAAGAGGTAACCACAATGAATAAGATGAGGTCTGTAAGCAGGGATTCTTTCCTCTCCAACCTAATTTTCTGAAATAATTTCAGAGCGTTCTTGACTGCCTTTGCAAAGTGATTCATGCTTCTTGGGGCCAGCAGAGCACCCACCCACTGTATGGTGATACAAGCTTGATTTGGAAGTCATTGCCATAGTAGCAGAAGAGGGGAGGGAGTGGGGCTGGGGCTGACTTACTTCTCGTTGTGATAGTAGAGTTTTCCAATGGCCCAGGCAACAATGATGGGGAAGGGGATGCCTGTGAATGGAACAAGTAAGTTTTAGCAGTTTATCAACCGAAGATCCAACAACAGGCGGAAGAGGACGGGATCTGGCTTCATCCCCACATACCAATCAGAAATACCACAATTTCCTGAACCAAGACATTTTGCTGCCTAGACTGAAGCAGCATGTGGAAACTCAGTCCAGCACAAGATATGTAATGCCAAAAGCCATAGCATTTGAGGTAGTGTATCTTCCCCTCTTGAGCAGTAGACCTGCATGGTAACAAATTGCTTCCCTTTTTGTGACATGAAAAGGGGCTTCCTGAAGCACTTTGCCCAATGGTAGGGCTGGTCTAGCTGCTTCTGGGGCAGTTTTCTGGATGTTCTGAATACTCTGAATCTATACAAATCAATTATGTGCTATCAAGTCAGGGTTGACTCTCGGCGGCCACATAGATTAATTTATGATTCTGAGTTTGCTCTCATAGTTCATTTCTAATATCAGAGCAGAAGAGCAGTCCCTTGAACATTTAAAAAGTTGTTGAACTTGCTTTTAGCAGGGACTTATCATTTATTTATTGGTTTATTTATTTCTTCAATTTATAAGACTGTCAACTTGCCACTCTGGGTGGCTTTCAAAAGGATTAAAAGCATCCACATAGAAACAAAAGAATCACAACAATAAAAACAACTGTGCCAAGGAAACACAGATTCTGGCTACACAATTTAGAAAGCTCACACACCATCCCGGGCCCTGTGGGATAGCAGGAACAAGGCCATATGGATCTGGGGGGGGAGGGGAGATGCTGTGATAATATATCAATATATTTTCATGATTCAGCCACAGAATCTGCTTTTATTTCTTGGTATCCGCAGTAGAAGTAACATGATAGATTATTTCTGAATTTTTGCAGATGGGTTGCTTACTGCGGCAGAACTGGGTCCAGAATTTGTGCAGTAATAAAGATGATGTGTTCCTGAGGGTGCACAAAGTTCTATTAGGCAAAGAACACCAACTGATTTGGATGGTGGATGGTAAGTGGCAGAGCAAATTGTTTCAGAAGAGTTGTTCTTCACTTCGGGCCATGAAATGTCTTGGGCACCCCTTTATATAAGCTAGAGTGATAAAGATGATAATTGGCACCCTCCAGAGCTTTTCTCCTCCCCCTCCCCCCAGTCTAGTCTAGAACATCTGTGCCAGTTCAGGGAGTTACTCAATTAAAAAATGAAATTGTGTCGTCTCTGTATATTGCTCCGTTCCACCACATATCACTGGATATGTTGAGTTTTCTTCCTATCTGTGCCAACTGGCTATGTTAAGGGAATTCTTTTCAGAAAAGGCCTCCTGTCATCCAGCAAACCTACATGGATGCACCAACCCCCTCCTATCCTTCTCCTTGCCACTCACACCAGCCAAGACAGATGAACATCCACTTCCGCAACTTGTCTGTTGAATAGGTGAGAACAATAGCGGTGTGCAGATAGCATCCCTCGCCGAACATCCAGAAGAAGTTAGTGACGTGGAAATAGTTGTAGGCAGCTATGACAAGACGGCACCATGGCTACAGTGTGAGGAACAAACATAGTTAATGAAGGGGAGTGCCAGGAAGCATCCGATTAGGTAGCTGATTGAGAACCACTGGGGTTAAGGTCTGGTAAAGGTTCAAGGTCACCATTAGCCCCGGAGGTTCATGGGGTGACCAGGCCAGTCACAGTATCTCAGTGCAATCTACCCAATAGGGTTGTTGTTATGGGAAAAAATGGAGGAGGGAGTGCTCCAATTTTTTTATTTAACAAATAAAGTACATCCATAACAAGTGCATCCATAATCAAGCTGTTCTGCAGCTTCTGGGTGTTCCTACAGCCTGCCAACATTTGAAATTCACAGAACGTCCTCCTTGTGCTGAATTGTCATTGTCATCACTGAAAGGATAGCTGGGTACTGTAGGATATCTTACCTAAAATGCACTAGCTTAAGAAAGTTTATGTTGTGCATGAAAAAGGCCTATCTAGCTAGTTTCTTTCTTAAAGCTCCTGACTAAAGACAATTTGGCTAAATCTCAGTTTTAAACAGTCTCGGAAAAAATCCCTTAGGTTTTGTTTTGTTTTTTGCCAATCAGACTAAAAAAGAGATACCAAGTTTAGAACTGCCAGAGTCTACAATAAAGATTTTACCTCTTCTTACTCTTTTTTTTTTTTTTGCTTTAAGACCAAACACTGAAACACTAATAATACAACTTTATATTCTGTTTTCCTGTGTAAAGGTTTGATACATTTACTTTCCATTATATATCCTGCACCAATGATTCTGCTTTCCTTCAGAAACATGCCTAGAATTTTAATGGGTTGGAGTTGCTTCTTTACAGTTGGAATTGTGTGACTTTCCTAAAATTTGTTTCATAACAAGATTAAGCAGAAACTGCTGAGTTGAGCGTCACGTCTAGGAAACAGCAACCTCAGATGAATGAGTCAATCACTTAAAAGGAGTGCAGTGCTGCATAAGAAAGAGCTATTCTGTCTGGGCAAAAATTGCAGGCTAAAGGTGGATGGAGGCCGTATGTAAAATGGTGAGGTGTTAAGCACTTTAGATGTGAGTGCTCTTTTCTAAAATAGTGCTGGCTCACTTGTAATGCAGTGAAATCTTAGAAGGCAAAGGGCAGGATAATTAAATGGGTCTAAAAATAGGGGGGAAATCCTCATATATTTCTCAGTCATTTGCAAAAGAAAAAATAGGTAGATTCCTACAAAAAATATCTTAAAGTGTTCCCAAGTTAACATTGTTCATCATAGGACTGGGAAGGCTGCAATGCAAAAAGCTAGAGTCCGACAGCTGGCAGTGTCTGCAGGGGGCAGGAAGAAATGTCAACAAGGCTGTTGTGGCAGTGCAACTGAAGTCCTACCCCTTTGTATGTGTGATTGTTACCACAACTGCCACAACTTTTTTGACTCTGTTGGACACTGCTGCCTACAGCTAAAGATAGGGTATTTCAGGTTGATGTATGAGCTTCAGGCTTCCTTACTGAAGCATACAGAACAGGAGTGGGAAGCATGCAGCCCTCCATCTGTTGTTGGACTTCATCTTCCATGAGGACCCACCATTTTGGGCCAATGATCCTGAACACTGGGAATTGTAGCCTATCAAATTCTGAAGAGCCGTAGGTTCCCTACCCCAGTATAGAGATTAATCTGCCTGGTCAACCATATACGGTGTCACAGCAATCCATCAAATTGTGCTTTTAAAAATAAAAATAGGGAGCCAGCTTATAATGAATTAGACCAAAGGTACCCAACTTTCATGGATTTGTGGGCTCCACTAGGCTTTGTCCAGCATGTCATGGCCCATGCTTCAAAAAATGGGCAGGGCCAGGACCAGATTTTGTGCGAGGGAGATCAGGTTCTTAAAGTGTAGAATGTTTATACAGAGCTTCTGCAAGGTTTAAGGCAACAGTTTAATCTGTTTAAGATCCCTCCCCGTGCAAAACAGAAAGGACTAAGCCATAATTGTTGATTCTATATGTTCTGGGGGTCGCATGTGGACCATAGGCCATATTTGTAGACTACTGGGCCAGCTATGCTGTTTCTGTCTCTCCAGAGATTTTTCCTGGCCAAGTTAGAAATGCCAAGGACTCAAACTAGAATTTTTGCATGTGAAACCTGTGCTTTGACACCAAGCTAATTAGAGGCTTCATTATCTGCTGCAGCGGCCTTAATATCCATAGTGCTTTCCAGTATAGTTTTATGATCTTTTAAAAGGCTTGATTTTCACAACAGCCTAAGTACTCGAGACCTCAAAAAACTGAAGGTCCTTTCTTCAGTTTCTCAAACTGTGTCACAAAGTAATTTTGTGCCAGGCTCAGCGGAACCTACCACATTGCTTTCGTGCACTTCTGGATTCATGGTGAGTTGTACCACAAACCATGTGGCATTCCGCAAGATGAAGGCGGTGATCAAGTTCCAGTGGATAATATTTCGTAAGCACCGGATGCTCCTGCAGGAGAAAAGGAATCACTCAAGAGGCGTAGTGTAACTAAGACGCCAAAACGGCATGTATCCCAGCTATCAAGTTTCAAGGAAGAATCTTTTCATCGCATGATCCTACATCTTGGTGCATACTTTGGTCTCACTTACCGCAGTCGCATGAAGAGGACAAAAGCTGCCAGTAAGGCCCCCAAAGAAATGCAGTGCCCAAGGTAGTTGATCACAACAGCAATGTGATAGTGCAATTTGCTCCTCTTCTGCAACAGGAAAGATACAAGAGGATCTTGGGAAATCAAGAGGATATGCAGGAAATAGGACAATCATTTTTGGTTCTAGAATCTGGTGAAGAATATAGGATTACCTAATTTTTATTTCCAAATTGTTGGGTCCCTGGTTCAGATCCAAAGAAAGTGAGCCAGACCTGAATCTGGAAACTCCAGGGCAGAACCAGTAAAGAATTTAGCACCAGTGGTGGAAACAGATAAGATCAAGGACAAAGAATCAGACTTTTATTGAGCTTCCTTTGACCCCAACACTGATTCCCTGCCAAAGACTCAGTTTTACGAATCAGATCAGCAGTGTAATGACTTGGCTACCCCAGTGATGGTAGAAGTCATTTTACAGGCAATCTTTTATCAGGAGCAGCATTAGCAACTGCCCTCTAAGCATTATCTGCTTCCTAACTCATTTTATGGCAATTAATTCTATAGCTTAATGGTACATCATGGAAAAGGGGATGTTTTTCCTGGATCCTTTCCCAAGCTCTAGTGAAATTGATTAGCAGAAGCTTTATGTGCAATCATACCAATGAAAGAGGACAGCGTTTTGCTGAAAGATGTGTTGAGAAGTGACAGAAGAGGAGCCACAGGACAAGAAGGGAAACGGCTCAGCAGGTCATTCAGAAATGCAGACTGGTGCATGAGAATGTTCCATCTTTCTAGAACATGGCCTAAGTAGACATAGAATCCTCCAAAAAATGGAAAAGAAGGCTAGGTGGGATAGAATAACTTGCAGCAGTCTTCTATGAAAGATGCTGCAGTCTTTTTTGAAAGGGCCAGCTATTTTTCTCCACATTAATTGCTAATTCACACAGTGGATGCGAGCCTCACAACAGGGCAGTTGGCTAATTTAATTACTTAGTCCTCCTCTCCTGCGATTTCTACCCAAACCCCCAGGGACAGCTAAATTTAATTGCTGCAGTGGATATATCATGTTTCCAGGAACCTTTGTTAAACTCTAATTAAGTAACAGCCTTCTGGGATTTTCCAGATAATGGCCACACAACAAAAACACTTTGCATACCTCCTTCACCTCCTGCCCTCATGCAGAACCTGTAAAACCAGCAAAGGTTTGTACTTGCCACTAGCTCTTTTTCTAGTGACTGACAAACCACCAAAGATTCCCTGGGCCAACTTTCAGAGCAGGAAAGGCCTGAAATAAAAAGTGACAATGCCCCATGGATACTTGCCACAATAAATCATAGAATCATAAAACTGTAAAGTTGGAAGAGACCGCAAAGACTGTCTACAATGTGCAGGAAACACAATTATTCCATCCATGAGAAGGGGCTGTCCAGCCTCTCCTTAAAAACCTCCTGAGATGATTGCCATATGGAAATAACCAGTTACAAAGTACCAACTTACCCAAATGATACCTGCCATACCCTCAGGATTCTGCTGCCAAGATGGTCCCAACTACCTGTCCATACCTTTATTTTTATATTGGATAAATGGGCACACACATTTTATATTGGATAAGCACTAGGTTTTAGCTATCCACCATTGTTATGCTTTAGGAAACATTATGGAGCAATTAGGGCTCAGAAGCATTTTTGGAAATAAGGAATAATGTGGAGATAGGCTCTTTGTTTGCAGAATACTTGCTCCCAATTTTTAAAATTAAATTTTTTTTTTAAAAATAAAAAGTCTCTAAGAGCAGGGAGGTTGATGTTCATGATGGGAAATATTTGTGAGCACAGTGCATCAGGCTCCACATTGGGGACTTCAGACCACTATAGATAAATCTGTTATTTCAGTTTTTTTCTACATTCAATGTTTTAAATATCAAATTGTTTCCATTCCACATAGAAAGAATTCTGCAAATTCCATCACGTTTTGATTTAAAAAATACAAATTCTTAGAACTATAGGATATAGTTAAAAAGACATCTTCCTGCTTCCAGTCTAGCACTTTAGCCACTATACTACACTGGCTCTCATATATATCTATATCAACATCTAATATTGCCCCCCCCCTTTTTTTGGTTTAATTAAACAGAACATGGACATCCTTGACTGAAACTGTCATATAAATGTTTATGTCCATATTTGCATGTGAGATATGTATTTGTTGTTGTTTACCTTCTTTTTTAGTTTTTCTTTTTCTGTTCTATCTAATTAAACAAACAGAAACCATGAATTATTCCAATCTGTTGATTATTATGACCTGTATACATTCCAAAAATGATTGGGATGAAGTGCTTTGGACCTTGAATAAACACAAAACCTCTCAACTGTTCATAAAAATAGCCTGTCTTTTTTCAAACTTCCATATGCAATGGAAAAACAATGCAGCTACTTTAAAAGTGACATTAAAGACCTGTTTTAATGAACTGACTCATTAAAACAGCAGTATCTTTTTTCAAGCTTGCCAGATGTGGCTGCTTTAATAAACAGCAAGATGCTGTGCTTGCATGAGGTCTAAAGCACTTTTTCCAAATAACTTTTGAAGTGCACATAGCTCTACTGTTCATATATTTTTATCAATAAAATAATACTATGGACCTGTGCCATTTGCTTGATATAATCTGGTAATCATGTACAACAGTCCCTACCTCCTCACTGAGGATCTCTTGGCACTGGGAATAATTCACACGGGTTGCCCAGCTCCCATTTGCCAAACATTCTCTGTACACATTGTCTGAAAAAGAAAAACACAGTGGAGATTGAGTGGTGCAAACTGCATGAAACAAATGATGAAAGAGAATTCCCTACAAAATGAGATGTTCCAACTAGACAAGCAAAACAATCCCTCGCATTCTTAGCTGAACTAACTGGTCTACAGAAAATAACTTTTGGGTTTTTTTTAGGTTTTGGTGCATACATGGGTTTTCTTTAAATAACAATAACTAGGAGACCTTA